TCTCTCTCTCTCTCGCGTGTGTGACTCTTCCGCAGGGCAAAAGACAGAAAAAAGGGCATCCTGGCCTTCGGGCATTCCGCACCCTCTCTTGTCTTCTCGCACGGGTTCAACTCTAATTCCGCAAGTGTGGGAGGATGTGCGCCGGATCAACCGAACACCACAGTCAGCGCGCTGTCAGCAGACAGTCGGAGGCGCGCCGATGGGGACCGGACCCTGAAGTCCTGTTGAAGTGCACCCTCCCGCCATCATCCGTGCGCTCTGCGTTCGATCACCGGATGTCGAGCGGCACCGCCGGGCTAGCGACCAACATCATGGACCAATCTCGATAAGGGAGGCCAAGCCATCACCAAATCGTCTTCGCTCTCGCTCTCGCTCCTCGCACCGAGTGGCAGCAGCAGCAGCAGCGACGACGGCCAATCCATGCCGCCGCCCACAGCGTCCGCGCGCGGTCGCGTCAAGCACGCCGCCGATTCGCAGCAGCTGCCCGAGCCATACCAGCAGGAGCGTCCATCATGGCGACCGCCGCTCCATCCAGCTGCGCCCCAACGCGATGTGCCGGACCTCTTCACCACCAAGCCCAACCAGCCCGAAGATGACATGTCGCAGCTCGCCGTGCGCAAGGGCTTCACCGCACGCAACTATGTCCGTAACGAGGCACTCTCCGCTCACGACAGCATCTACTCGCGTCTCAACTCGCCTGCCATCCTCCGATCCCTCTCGTCATGGATGGACGAGGTCGCCCAACGCCGTCACGAGCTCGACCGCGCCCACGTCGCCGCCTCCCAGTACAAGCCGCCTTCGCGCGTCACGCTCAACGATGCAAAGCTCGCAAATTACGTCAAGGACCTCGCGGACCCCACTGTGCCCCTCGCACGCCTCTCCAGGAACGTGCCCCACGGCTTTCGAGGCGAGAAGCTCTTCGAGATGCTCTGGGCAGGCGGCGCCCTCCCTGCCACCATCCCTGCAGCTTCTTCGTCCTCGACCACTGCTGCCGCAGCCGCAGCCGCAGCAGCAGCGAGGAGAAGCGTCGAGATCTCACGCGCCGTCTGGTTCATCCGCGCACTCGGCGCCGCAGAACTCTCGTCGCTGCGAAACAAGTCGGCCGCCACCATCGTGCCCGAAATCACCTCGAACCTCTGCACTTGGATGGCGAAACAGGTGGCAGAGCTCAACATCGCATATGCCGCAGAAGCTTCCTCCTCCACCGCAGCCGCATCGCCCGCGCCCGCCTCTCCATCCACTCATGTGCCCAGAACGCCCGGCTCGGCGGCTGCTTCGGCGGCCCTCTCGCGCTCCGTCGCAGCCGCCCACTTTGCCCGCACCCCCTCCAACCTCCATGCCGCCTCGTCGCCCTCCCCACTCCCGGCCAAGGAGGTCTGCACCGTTCTTCAGAACCACATCGACCAGGAACGGTGGATCGCAAAGTGGTCTTACAGCCTCTCGCTCGCCCGCCATCTCCATGCGCAGCATCTGCTCGACCGTTCCATCCTCGTGCGCTGGATCGTCGACGCCTTTGCCGCTTCCAACCTCGTTCAGCTCCCCTTGCTCGTCGAACTCGTCCAAGAGGTCATCCTCCTCATCCTCCGCAGACGCTGCTTCGCGAGGCCCTTCCTCGCGGCCCTCCTCGCCCAGATCACCGCCCTCGATGCTCGCTTCGACCGCGCAGCCGGCGGCGCCGCTCTGCGCAACAAGCTCCTCCTTCTCTTTCGCATCGTCTGCGAATCGAGCCCGGACACGCTCACGAGCCCGCGTCTGTGGTGCGAGAATGCTGCCTCTCTCGTTCGCCTTCTCAACGAACTCAAGGGCGAAGCGGAGCTCGATCCCTCGGCCCATGTCCCGCCCAACCTCGCCGACTTTGTCGAGCTCAACATCCGCCCCAGGGTCGACCGGCTTCTGCTGCAATCATCCAGCGCCACTCCCACCGACACGCAGCCAGACTCGCCCTCCGCTTCCCATTCGCAACAACACCATCTCGACATACACGCTCTCGATTCGTTCGACATGAAGACCATCGATCGCGTCTTTCTGCAAACCCCAGCCGCTGGCAAGGCTGCTGCCAAGCTCCATCGAGACGATGCCTCATGGACGACCAGGATCGAGACCATCCTCACCTGGGCCTGCACCGAGCGTCGCCGTGGCGTCGCGCGCCAGTACCTCGCAGCCACCTTGATCGAAAAGATCCGCTTCGGCGTCGGCTGGGAAGAATCGAGCGAGGAAACAGACAAGATCTCGCTGCCAGCCTTCGACCTCGAGCATCCGCTCAAAAAGACGCGCAAGATCAACGTCGAGCCCATGCTGATCAAGTGGCTCGGCGACGTCGAGGCCGCTCTCAACTTGCCCGACGACGCCCTGACCGCCGATCCGCATGCGGCTCTGCTAGCCACCACCAATGTGAGCTCTCTTGTCGTGCTTATCGGCGAGGTCGCAAGGCGAGGCGTATTCTCGTACACCAAGTACCTGCAGCGGCTCATTGCGCGCGGCATGACCACCACATCGACTCCGTCTGCTACGACTGATCCCACGGCGGCAGTCACGGTCGGCGCCCCCAAAGATGCGCCAATGTCTCGCGACTCGCTCCATTTGCGCGTCTTGCGCTCCCTGCCCCTGTACGACCAGCCAGCTTCGGTGTTTCAGCAGCGCAGGCAGGCCATCTACGGCGAGCGCACCAAGGAGACTTACGAAGACGCGGCGCAGCGTCGTGCTCTGCGCCAGTTGCAGTCCTTGCTTCCATTCGCCTTTGCATCCGAGGACGCTGGTGCGATGGTCGACGCGCCGTCCACAGAAACGACCGTCGAGCCGCATGATCTGCAGCACGCGCTCTCGCGCCTCTGGTCGGCATCGCGCTTTGTGCGCTGCAGGATCTTCCGCAGCGAGCTGCTTCCTGCCGTTTCGTCGCGCATCGACGTGCTCAGCGGCGAGGAGCTCTCGCTAGTGTCGGCGATCCTGGTCATGGGCGACGACTTTGAATGTCTGGCGCAGCTGCTTGCTACGCTCCTGCTGCGTCCGCTCTCGGACAGTCTGGCGCGGCCGGCGTTCAACATGGTGATCGAGTTCAGCCTCGTGTGGCGCTCGATGGACATCATGGGTACGCTTAATCAGCTCGTGCGGCAGCAGCTCAACCATTCCAGCTCGGTCCGGAACGACCGCCAGGCCGTCATGGCCTCCACCACGCTCCTGCGCCTGCGCACGCTCATCGAGGGCCTGCCGAGCCGCATGCATGTCGCTCCGCACGACGCACACGCCGAGCACGATGCGATCCAGGCGCATGTGCAGGCGCTCCGGCCCAACGTCGTCGCGCTGCTACTTAGGCTCACGCAGCGCACCGAGCACAGTGACCGTGCGAGCGACAAGGGCGCCACTACGCCCATCGAAGGCTCCGAGATCCTCACGCCGTTCCGCAGCTTGTTTCTGCAGCCGGACGGCACGAGCGACGAGATCACGGAGCGGGCCATTGTGCAGAGCGTGCTGCAGCTGTCGGACCCTGCGGTGATCGATGCGGCGGTGCGGCTGATCGACCAGCTCTACCTCGAGGCGTCGCTCGAGATCGACGAGCGCCACGCGCGCTGGCTCGGCGACCTTGCGCAAAGCATGGAGCATGGTGGCGTTTCGCACGACGCGTTCAGGGCGCTGCTCGGCCTGCTCAGTAGGCTTGTGGCGCACGGCACGCTCAATCTGCAGCTCATGGTGGACACCTTCTTGCTGCCGTACCTGCTCACGGGCGTCACGCAGCTCACGGACCCTGCGACGCGCAACCAGGACTCGATGCTGCACGTTACTGCCGTGGTCGCCTGCCTGCGCCAGATGTTTTCCGGCAGCCTGGGCGACGAGGGCGATGCGGGGGGCAACTCGACGTACGAAGACCAGCGCGCGTTTGGAGCGCAGACGGTGCTGCTCTTTGCGCGCGTCAACCTGCCGAGTCTGGTCAAGATGGCGACGAGTCTGATCTGCGCCTCGGGCGAGACGTCGTCGTTGTCGGCGGGCGACAAGGCGCCGGTCGAGGCGTTCTGGCGCGCGCTGCTCACGTCAGAGCGCATGCAGCTTGCGTTCCGCCAGGAGGCGCGCGTGTGCATGCTCACCGTGCGCGACACGTGCAAGGCCATGTGGGGCTGCAACGCTGCCAAGGTGATGGACGCGGCCATGGCGTGCCTGGACTCGACGAGCCTGTTGCTTGGCGACCTGGGCAGCATCGACGCCGGCGCGGTGCGGGCGCGGCTCAACGAGTGGGACACGCCCGTGGTGGCCAACGAGCTGGTGGAGATCTTTGAGCGGCTGCAGCTCGTCGAGCCCAGCTTCCAGTCGCGCGCCGACACCAAGACCAAGGCGCTGGCCGCGGGGATCTTCGACGACCTCTTTCTGCGGCTGCCGCACATTGGCGCGCAGTTCATGCGCGACTGCCGCTCCCCCGCGCTCGTCTCGCGCTTCGTCGATATCGGCGTCAAGATCCTCGCGGACAGGATCAAGGCGCAAAGCGGCGAGGATGCGGCGGCGGAGGCGGCGGTGGGGGAGGTGCTCGATTCGCTGCTGCGCATGGGATGCCAGCAGGAGGGATTTGCGTTCAACGCAACGGACGCCGATTCGTGCGGCCACGTGCTGCTGCACGTCATCCACACGCTCGAAGCTGCCTCCTCACAGGCCGAGACGTGCAGCTCGTTGAGCGCAGCGGTGAGCTCGGCGCTGCACGACGGCGTGACGATGCGTCTGCTGCACCTCGTGCTGCGCTTTGGCTGTCTCTGGAACGGTGCAGCCAAAGCGGCTGCACCGCGGCTGATCCAGGTTCTGCTGCGGCTGGCGCTGCACGCGGGCACACGCATCGAGGGCGGTGGGGCGTTTACGCTTTTGGTGGACACGCTCAGCTTTGTGCTGGACGAGGTTCCTGCGGCGCTGGTGGGCGTGGGGGAGATGGAGGCGCAGTTGCAGCGGGCCGAGGTGGCGACGCCGGAGCGCATGCAGCGGCTACAGGCGCTGTCGTACGTGCTCGACAGTGGGCCCGGTCGGCACGCGTGGATGGTGGCGCCCAATGCACGCGCCGCGCTCGGCCGCGGGTGGTTTGCACCGGGCCCGCTGAACCCCTGGGAATGCGCCGAGTACCTCGACCCGCCAGCGCCCGCGCAAACCTCTTCGGCGGCCCACAGTATCACCTCGGGGCAGGGGGCGAGGTTTGGGTGGCGGGAAAAGCTGAGGCTCAATACGGCGGTGGCACCGTCGTTGCTCGCGCTGCGCGTCACGCGCGATGTGGTGCCGCACTACGCATCGCCCTCGCACGTCTCGAGCCCCACGGACCAAGACGAGGGCGGGGGGATGCCCATGTTTGTCGAGTCGGAACGCACGTATGGCGCGCGCACGGCGGGCGAACCGCTATTCGCACGTGATCTGCGCCGCGGAGTGCTCCCGCTTCCCATCACGCATGCCAAGGTGGGTGCAGCGAGGGTGGATGTGATTGATCTCACGTTTGACGACGACGATGCGGCGCCCGTGGTGCGTGCCGAGGTGCCGCGCAAGCGTCGAATGTCCAAGCGCGACTGACTTGGCCCTCCAATGCACAGGCAAATCACTTGGACTTTGGCACGTGTTTGTGTAGTGAAACTGATCAAGATTGCCAAAGATCGGAACCAAGGTGGGATTCAAGCGAACTGTGTTTGGGCGGAAAGATGGAGTGTGTGAGTTGATCTGTGTGATTTCTTGGATTTTGCGGAATGTCAAGCCAGGGCTGAAGGAGGGGGGGG